CCATCATAACCTAGTCAGAGCTGAAATATGACATTTTTATGACTAGCTGGTTACTTTTACTTTAGTCAGCTATAACATCTGGATACATTTGAAAACATATATCTTCCTTCATCCACATTGTTAAGCAGGTGGCTACCACATTTGCATACATACATACATACATACTTACTTCCTCCCAGTCTCTCTTTCTCTCACTCAATCACTCACTCTCTCTCTCATATGCAGCAGAACTTTTATACTTAAACTCTGTATTTACCAATCACCCCACAAGGCAGAGAGTTCAACAAGAGGGTAAGAGGAAGAGAAAGCCTCCTCCTCATTCTTTTACACATAAACTCTTGAAACTTCATCATTCAACTTATCCTTCTATTGTGTTATATAAAGATTTATTAAGTATGGATCAAACACTGTGCGTTTTCTTTTAATAATTACACAAGGCAAACATACACCTAATCTAAATATTGCAATATATGATGGAAAAGGATATTGTCATAATATAATCTCCACAAATCCACCATAATGCAATTAGTGAAGATTGAACCCACAAGTAATGACCGGTGAGCCTTATTCACTGACTATTGCCCAAAGCTGAGCTATCCTTATTATACAAAGCTTAGCTTAGTTTTGCACAACTGTGAGACACCTAGTGAGAAGCAATGTAACACATTAACTATTATTCTATGTTAAAGCATTCATAATGTTATGTCTGATTAGTACCAATAGTGCAATAATTTTCATATTTGCATTTTTTTTGCAGGGAGGAGAGTAAAAGTGGTGTTGACTGAACTATTTTTTAATTTACTTTATGATGTAATGGCATAACCTGTCACCCCCATGAGTGACTACACTATTGGTAGTAACTACCTATAAGTATCTGTAAGTATACAGACTACAGAGTCTAGGCAAAATCTTTTCAGCTATACAGTCGAACCATCTGCCTTCGGGCAGAGAGGAACCCGGACGAGGCTCTACTGAAGGGCAGAGTCTCGTTCAAGGAGGTAGAATGAACCCTTTTATATGTGTTCAAAGGGAATATTTTTGGCCTTGTGCCACATCTACCCTAGTGGGGGTGGCTAGTAGATATTGTGTAGTTGAAATCTTTTCAGCTATATGGATGAAGGCAGAGAGGAACCCAGACGAGGCTATGCCAAAGAGCAGAGTCTCATCTGAGGTGGTAGACCGACCCAACCCCGTTTTTTACGGGGTCCACAGGGAATTTTTGTCCAAGCTTATGGGCTCAGATACCCCATGTTAAATTCAGCCTTGTGCCACGTACAACCACTTGGGGTGGTTGGTAAATATACTAGGTGGAATGTTTTCAGCTATACAGTTGAACTCTCTGCCTTCTGAGGAACCTAAACGAGACTATGCCAAAGGGCAGAGTCTTGTCTTGGGTGGTAGACTAACCCGAACCTGTTTTTTATGGAGTCTACGGGAAATTTTTGCCTGAGCCTACGGGTTCGTATACCCCACATTAAATTCGGTCTTGTGCCATATCCGACCGCATGGGGCGGTTGGCAAATATTCTAGCTGGAATCTTTTCCACCTGTGCTGGTCAAACTCTCTGCCTTCGGGCAGAGAGGAACCTGGACAAGACTCTGCCCTTCGGCATAGCCTCGTCCGGGGAGGTAGACAGATCTGATCCCATTTAAGCGGGGTCTACGGGGATTTTTGGCCGAGCCTACAGGCTTGGGAACCCCTCATTAAATTCAGCCTTGTGCCCCATGTGACTGCGTGGGGCAATTACTAGATACCATCTACCTGGAATCTGTTGAGTACGACTCAGACGTACATGAAAACTACCAACCTTCCAATAGTAGCACTCACTTCTGGATTAACTTTCGACGACCTTGTGCATAACTGTTACCTTTATTCTTATTGTACTGGTTTTTACAAAAACCTTTACTTATTTTATCCACAGTGTTTGTCAAGTATATATTCCTATTAGCACGGAATATAACACTATCATCGACCATCATATTACATTTTTGAGCTTTTTAAATGGTTAACGAATTATTTGCTTTGCACATTTAGGGTTTTAGTTTATATTCAAATATCTTTGACTCACATTTTTTCTGCAATCAGTATTGCATTTCTTTCTATGATTGTATGTCCATACAAATTTTTAAAGATGTTTACTTGGCACAAGAATGCTTTTCCATAAGATTATTTAGTATCGATCTTCATGTGGATTTAGGATGAGATCATTGACTGCAAACAGGGTCAGCAATCAGGATACATCCAGAAGCAGGCTGTTTTAACAACTGTATGTATTTTCCGATTTGAAGTAGAAGTACTTTCTTACATTCTGTTTGAATAGCTCTTTCGTGTTGTCTACATAGATTTTTTATATGCTGGGACGTTTATTTTGAAATGGAGAAACTGACTGCTCACATAGTGGAGTATTTCCATAATTACATTTAAATTATCTGTTCAGTTTATACGCACTTGTATGCATGCACTAGGTGTTGGCTTTGTGGCCTAAGTGAATATATCCAGCAGCTAACAGTCAAAAACATGAAGAGTTTATGTCAAAGAATAAAAAAAGGAAAGGAAATATTTAAAAAAAAATCTCCTCTTGTGGCATAAATCTAATGAGAACTGCACAATGAAACAAGATTTTTTTTTTTCTTTTAAGGAGGTTGAGGTTTTGTGGAGGATGATGGCAAGAAGATAGTAGAGGCAAATGAAGTGAATAAACATGTGAGCATCAATTCAAATATTGAACATAGCAAGGGAAGCGATGATAAGGAAGGGGATTGAGATATAGAAAACAATTGAATGAAATGATATAAAAAAAAGGAGAAACAAAATAAAAATGTCAAAATACCAACTTGAGAAAAAAGACAACAGAAAAAAAATGAATAAGTGTCAAGCTACCGAAACAAGGAGGATACTTGAAAAAAGAAAATAATTCAGATATAAGTTTTCTTCCTTTAATTTATTATGTTTGGATTTTCTATGAAGTGATCCATTCAACAAAGTGAATTACGATATAACGCTTTCAGTGAAGCCAGTTTTCAGGCAGTGAAATTCTCTGGACCCGATTAAAAGATATTTGAAACATGTTTATCCTCATCCAATTTTAACTCTGAAAAGAACAAATCATGTTATATTTGAGGATGCTGATAATTTTCTACATATACGACAAGAAGACAACACATAATTAGATAGAAAGAAAAACACTACGGTAAAAAAGATTAGAATAAAAAAACAAGATGGTTTGGTTTGGTATTGAATTGAATACATGGAAACAATCCTTAAGTGATTCCTCTTATGTTGTGAATCTTGCTTACAAAACTTGCATCTCTTTTACTAAAGTGTCTAATTCAACAGTGACCTGTTTGTCAAGAGAGAGTAATACAAAGAAAATTCAAGCTTTCTAATTTATGACACTTTCTTAAGCAGACATCCTACCTCTTCTCATTCTAGTTGATTCAAACATCAATGACATCTGACATATGGACTTATGCATCTCTCTTCTCTGAGTGGCAGGATCTAATCTTGTTGTGACTGGGGTTTTGTCTATCAAATCAGGACATGCTGTCTATCAAAATCCTCATTGTATCAAAAACCTTGTTCTATCAAAATCCTTGTTCTATCAAATTACTTGTTCTAGCAAAACCTTTGTTCTATCAAATTTCTTGTTCTAACAAAATCCTTGTTCTAACAAAATCCTTGTTCTAAATCCACAAACACAAACTTGTCATCAGTTGCTTTCACTAACTCAGATCCAGAAGTTTACATAACTTTTACCTGTATCTTGCATGTCAAGTTGGGAAAATTATAGATTTTTGAGTGTTTAAAAAGTGAATTTCAATAAGTAAGATTCATGTCTGTATTCTTTTAACATTCAAAACATTCTCTCTCATTCATTATTTGTCTCCATGTTAAATCAAGGAATAGAAATAAAGGGGAAAATACTTTCTTTTTGATTATTATTATTATTATTATTATTATTATTATTATTAGGACTAATGTTTTGTTTTCAACTGGTGATTCATTTTTAATCATTTCACTATAAGCAAAGCAAAAAATTCACTAAGACCCAAAGAAAAATAAAAACATTGTTAAGAATGAGGAACAATAAAAGTACAGAAATTAAGAAAGGAAGATAATGATTGACATTGAATTTAAGTTTTTCAAAATCAAACTTTACTGGAAAGCAAGAAGCTGGAAGAGAGTTCCACAAGAAAGGCATGAGAGAGAAGAAACTATTAGCAGAGAAATCAGAGTTACATGTTGCTATTATTTCAACTATAAATTAGATATGATCTGTTTACCTAATAGGGTGCTTAAATTCATAGAGTTTAGATACCATTGAGGAAAGTCCATCAAAACAATTACCATGAAAGTATTTAAAGAAAAGGTACAGGGAGGCCAACATCGTATTATGGGTGTTCTCCATCAAGTTGCGCAATCTCAGATACATTGCACCTTTCATAGAATATTTGCATTGCCAAGTCATTCAGACTTGTGAAGCAATGAGATAGTATGCTTTATTATAATTTACTTATTGTAGGATTTTAAGTTCATTGGATATTATTATTTATAAAACAGGATCTTGATCAATAACCTGGATGACAGCACTCCACAAAACAAGAGAAAAATTTACATAGGAGAAATTTCAATTAAGTTAAATAAAGCTTAAAGGTTAAATCGACTTTGGCAGGAAGGTTAGACAAGCCTGATATTGCCACTGCTTAGAACACTCCGATTAAGCTGAGGAGCAAGTCTAATATCTTCAGAAATTTGTTAGTGTAACGAAAGAGAAAATCATTTACCTTGAAAAAGAGTTTATGTTTTGTGCATAGTCTGTCAAAGGAAAATTAAAGAAAATTATTAGCAAAAAAGCTGCTACTTTAAGTATCAGAGAAACTATGTTCCTCCCTGTCTACAAATAAACATCCTTTTGATAAATGTTATCGGTTTACTATTTTGCTCGGTGAATGAATTCTCTTATATTTCTAAATTAACTTTTATTCTTTCTTCTTCCCCAGCTGACGACATCCTTTATAATGAGACAGTGATGAGAGGAGCATTTGCACAGTTTCTCCGTCGTTTAGCTGATCAAGTGGAAAGTGGCCTCATCTCACTTTTTGATGCCATTTCAATGAGTCCCTGCCATGGTTCTGTCTCCATGCCAAGTCAACAGAAGAACCTCAATACCAGTACCAATTTTGCGAGCACAGCTAGTACCAGTTCTCCCATCAATAACAATAGTAACAATAACAACAATAGTATCAACCTCACTCACATTGATTCATCACCCTCGTCATCACCACGCCCTTTGCACATACATCAGCCATGTGTCCCTGGTAAACAATCACCTCCCTCTCCTCAGTCTAATCAACAGCAAATTTTGGAAGAAGAAGCTTTACATGACGTTGGATCACAATCACTGGGCCATTATTCTGCATCTGCTCTTGCAGGTGTCAGTGAGGACACCAATGAACTAAGGCATATTCAACAAATGAACCAAGAAGGCGGGTCATCTCAAGTATTTTCATCAGATGTAACCCAGGATCAAGGCCTTGATATAAAGGTTGGTTGTTGCTGTTTCATTCTACATCGGAAATAATATCTTTAACAACAGTCTTGAGTAAAATTAGTTTGTGGTTGATATTATTACCTTTTTTTTTCCATTTATTCTGTTTATAAAAAAATTTGTTGCTAGCCTTTATGAGTGTGGGTGTGTCCCTCACACCCGTCAGAGGACAACCATTATCAAGCACTCACAAAGGTTACAGGAGAAACCAGAAATTTTATGATTTCCACAAATGTGTTTTGGGCTCCCACATGTCAAGTAAATTAAAAATCTAAAAAATATACAAAAGTATTTTTATCACATGCTTTTTGCTTAATATAAGAATATTTACTATCAATATATATCTATCACAAACTTCCAACATGAAATGTCTTTTCTGTTGTCAGTGTTGGTCCTACCAAATATATGTGAGTTGCCTGAGTAGTATCTGGTCATCAAATGCAAACATTTGACAAAACATTTAAAATAAATAAGTCAGAAAATAAAGATGGTTAAAGAAACATAAATTAATCTTTTTTTATTTTCTAGAAGAATATGTTAACAAAGTGTAGAAATGTGTTACATACCTTCTCTCCTATACTGAAAAGGAAAGCTATTGAATGTTGGTGATCTGTCATTAATAACAAGTTTGGTGTGGTTTCATTTGTTTTACAGCATATCAAACTCAATGGGTTATTAATGCCAACAAAATTTTTATTGCTGGTAATATCTTTCTCAAAAATGTATTGCTGGTAATAATGTATTGCTGGTAATAATTTTTTTCTTCAAAATGCATTGCTGGGAATAATTTAAAAAAAAAATATATTGCTGGTATTAAAACCTATTTTTATACTTTCATAGTATTTTGACCTCAGTTTTTTTTTTGTGGGGGGTAACTATTTGCCTATAGTTGGGACCCTAACAGGTGCTACCACCCCAGGTCAGAGTGAATTTTGGGAACACCAACAATTAAGAGATGGCCCCACACTCCTGATCAGAGGCTTTGCTGTTGGACATAGTTTATCATCTTACTCAGGATGAATTAATAACAGGCCAGGTCTGTTATGTTGCAAAAAGCAGTATTTTACCTATGTGTCAAGAAAACATTTTCTCTTTCGTGGCAGTTCTCTGTTTTCTGTGCAGAGTGAGATTCAATGACTGGCTCTAATGGTAATATAACCATTATAACTACATGCTGTGAATAATAACTGGAGAAAAGGAAGGAGAGTTAACTCCCAAATCAATATGGATTTTAAAACTTTCGTTAGCAGTATTGTCTTACAGCCTACAAACTTCGATGTTCTGTGTTGTGCAGTAAAATAAAACTGAAGAACTTTTTATCAGATATCAATTTAAAACTGCTTTTATGTATTTTATAGCAGACCAACAATATAATTTATAGCAGAATGACCAACAATACATTATATAGCAGAATGACATTATAACAATATAATTTATAGCAGAAGCAGAATGATGACATTATATAGCAGAATGACCAATACATTATATAGCAGAATGACCAATAATACATTATATAGCAGAATGACCAATAATATATTAATGATATAGCAGAATGACCAGCAATACATTATATAGCAGAATGACCAATAATACATTATATAGCAGAATGACCAATAATATATTATATAGCAGAATGACCAATAATACATTATATAGCAGAATGACCAATAATATATTATATAGCAGAATATTATATAGCAGAATGACCAATAATACATTATATAGCAGAATGACCAATAATACATTATATAGCAGAATGACCCAATAATACATTATATAGCAGAATGACCAATAATATATTATATAGCAGAATGACCAATATATTATATAGCAGAATGACAATACATTAATAGCAGAATGATACATTATATAGCAGAATGACCAATAATATATTATATAGCAGAATGACCAATAATACATTATATAGAAGAATTACCAGAAACAATAATATATTATATAGCAGAATGACCAATTAATACATTATATACATTATATAGCAGAATGACCAATAATATATTATATAGCAGAATGACCAATAATACATTATATAGCAGAATGACCAATAATATATTATATAGCAGAATGACCAATAATACATTATATAGCAGAATGACCAATAATACATTATATAGCAGAATGACCAATAATACATTATATAGCAGAATGACCAACAATACATTATATAGCAGAATGACCAACAATACATTATATAGCAGAATGACCAATAATATATTATATAGCAGAATGACCAATAATACATTATATAGCAGAATGACCAACTAATATATTATATAGCAGAATGACCAATAATACATTATATAGCAGAAGATAGCAGAATGACCAGCAATACATTATATAGCAGAATGACCAACAATACATTATATAGCAGAATGACCAATAATATATTATATAGCAGAATGACCAATAATACATTATATAGCAGAATGACCAACAATATAATTTATAGCAGAATGACCAACAATATAATTTATAGCAGAATGACCAACAATACATTATAAAGCAGAATGACCAGCAATACATTATATAGCAGAATGACCAACAATACATTATATAGCAGAATGACCAACAATACATTATATAGCAGAATGACCAACAATACATTATATAGCAGAATGACCAATAAATTATAGCAGAATACAATTATATAGCAGAATGACCAACAATACATTATATAGCAGAATGACCAATAATATATTATATAGCAGAATGACCAACAATACATTATATAGCAGAATGACCAATAATACATTATATAGCAGAATGACCAACAATACATTATATAGCAGAATGACCAACAATACATTATATAGCAGAATGACCAATAATACATTATATAGCAGAATGACCAACAATACATTATAAAGCAGAATGACCAATAATACATTATATAGCAGAATGAGCAACAATATAATTTATAGCAGAATGACCAACAATATAATTTATAGCAAAATGACCAACAATACATTTTATAGCAGAATGACCAACAATATATTTTATCTGTAGTTGAGGGCATGCAATTGCATATAAAGTATATTTAACTGATGTCACAAAAATTATGTTTAAAATATTTAGATTTCAGCATTAAATAACTCATAGAGGTGTTAATATGTCACTAAACAAACTCATCTTCAAATCCTTCCATAGATGCTTAGAGTATTTGGATTGTTTAAAATGTTATTCGGTCATGTTGACCTGATTAGACTTAAGTCAATTCTGTCTATTCAGGGGATAGAGAAAAGTGGCTAAAACTCACTATTAATAATCCGCAATGATTTGCCATATTCCAGTTTTTTTTCCATTTTAATTCATTTAGATTCTTTTATTGTAACATTAATACATTTTATTTTAATGTGATGATATCACATAATCATTATGTCCCTCTATGATATTTACTTTGCTGTTTTAAGGTTGTTCCTTTAATGAGTGCCTATCTGAATTCATCTCTGGATCCTTATGTAGATGTTTTAGTTGACAGCATAAGACTGCAGGCATTGATACAACGAGTAGAGGCAATTGATGATCCAACTTCTCCTGAAGATATGCACCGATTAAGTTTATCTATTCTCAGAGAAGCAATTAATTTGACATTCACAAAGATTGAATTAGCCAATGCATCTGGCCTCGGACTTCGAAGAACCAGAACAGACAGTGGATACCCACTTGATCGAAGAAAAGTTGAGGCTATCAAATGTAAGTGCTCTTTTAACCCTGTCTTTTTTCTAATTTGTTTTTATGTTTTTTTCAGCCATACACTTTTTCCAGATCAAGTCTAAGACATTTTAGTAACTTAATGTTTTATATCAGTGACTGATGAATGCTAAATATTTTTTGAAGAAATTAACTTTTACCTTTATTTTAAGAACAATTGCCATCACTATCATTTTGATAAGACATAAAATTATACAATTCTTTTTTCTTCTGAGAGAATTTAATCATATAAAAAAAGAAAAATGAAACATTAAAATAATAACAACTCTGTTGTCAAAGTTTATAGCTAAAGATTTTCCAAGGGGTACAACATTTTATTATGGCCGTTTTATGGTAACCTCAGTTTATGAATTTAAACATAGTACTAGATTCTCATCAATATAGAGTTGGACTGGCTAGGTATAACATAAGTTCTATGTGATGTAATGGAATAACCTGTCACTCCTATGGGTGACTACACTATAGGTAGTAACTACATATAAGTATCTGTAAGTCAGTGGACTACAGAGCCTAGCTGTGACCTGTTCCAGCTAAACAGTTGAACTCTCTGCCTTCAGGCAGAGAGGAACCCGGATGAGGCTCTACCGAAGGGCAGAGTCTCGTTCAGGGAGGTAGACTGATCCTGAACCCGTTTATACGGGTTCAAAAGGAATATTTTTGGACAAGCCTATGGGCTCGGAGAACCCACATTAAACCAGCCTTGTGCCACATGCAACCCTCGTGGGGTGGAGTAGCTAAATATACTAGCTGAGGTCTGTTGAGTATGACTCAGACTTATGCAAGAACTACCAACCTTAGCACTCACTATTGAATTGACTTGCAACAACCTTGCGCATAACTGTTACCTTTATTCTTATTGTACTGGTTGTTTACAATAAACCTTTACTTATTTTATCTACTGTGTTTGTCAAGTATATATTCCTATTAGCACAGAATATAACACTATATTAACAGGTTCTTTTTGCACAGTTCTCACTTGTGCAACTCTCTTCCAGCTCCATACATTCCGGCCAACTTTAATCTTCAAAAATTCAAATGCAATGTCAAACTCAATCTAATGTCTCCCTAATTACACTTCTGTTGTTCGCACTCCTTAATGTTCCTGTTCACTAATTCTTTCACACTCAGTAACCTCTTGTGTCTTAGTGACTTTATTTCCTTGCCATGGAGGGAAATGATTAAAAAAAAAGTAAGAAAAAACAGGAATAAATGGTATAGTTACCACGAAAGGCAAATTGGAAAAATAATATAAAAAAGCTGACAAGTTTTCATCCTTCTCCTCAGAGCTCGATCTAGGAAATAAAACAAGTGCACGCCACAACAAAAAATGGGCACTTTTTCTAAATGCGAATAGGATATGTGGATGTTAACAAGTTTGTGGGTTTTGTGTGTATTTCTTTAGGTGAAAGTACATATTCAATATAAAAACATTGAAGATAAAAGAAGCATACAAAAAAAAACTCTTGAGTTTCTGTTACTCTTGTGGCCTTGTTAGGGTCTGAAAATAAAGACACAAAGAGTGGAATTGAGTTAAACAAATATATTACAGAAACAGTAATACAAACATATACAAATGTTCAGTCCGACTGTCAGAGCTGACTGCTGGAAACTTCCCTCTCCAAAAGGCAGTACCTGCTCCTATTTATAGCTGGGAGAGTCCATGCATGTAGGGATAAATTACCATAACAGTTATGGACGTTTATTTCTTTTATGTTGACTGCATTGAAAGTTAAATGTTTCTTGAGTATGTACATTTTCCTTTTTGCTCCAGAAATAATTTGTGGGAAATAATGATAAGAATGGGTAAAAATGGTTGAGCTCAAGTTAGCCTCACACTGAGATGGGATGGCCAGATCTCTATTTCATGAGTAGGGCTGCTGAAAACATGTCCGAATTAATGCATTGGAAAGTGGAAAGAGTTCAGTCATCCATGGACATGGGGAAACTAACATTCCCCAGTGTCAACGTTATTATTGTGTTATTCATATCTTGAAGCCAAGAGAAGAAAGAGAAAGATTCAGTCCTTTCTGGAATTGGGATCATAAAATTGCTTATATGACCAGAAACCCTTTCTGGGTTTTTTTATAAGTTGCATCAGATTAATTTTTTTTGTTAATATTTGAGTTATTGGTTTTGTTTTATTTTCCCCACAGATATACACATATATTAACAATATACCTATACACAAATATCTATCCAAAGCAGATTATATAAAGTCTAACAGCTATTCTTTCAATTTACAAAAAGAAGGTTAAATATACATTTTCTTGCTTCTTTCCTTTTTTCATTTTCCTTTCACTTCAATAAGCTGCGTCTGTTTTAATGCCTGTGTGAAAAACAATATATAAATGTTTATATTTACTCTATTACCTGTAATAATTGCCATAAGGAATACATAGGAGTAACTTCAAGGAATATAAATAAAAGATTATATGAACACAAAAAGGATCTTTTTCAAAACAACACAGTCAATGTATTAGTACAATTTTGATTAAAAAAAATGTTGCTTTTATTAAAGGAGAAAGCAATTTACCATTTTTCAGTTATCCAAACTAAAGCCATTTTAATATTTCATTTGAGACAAGTGTTTTGAGAATTTAGAAAAAGTATACTCAATGTTTCATAAAAACGCTGATAAAATCAGTTCAATTAATTCTTATTAATTTCATTGTTGTTTTCATACAAAGGAGATACATATGAATTATCCAAACTTGGTTGCATGAATGATAACACAACTCACAGGTGCATGTGACACATGTGAACGATACTTCAATGGGGAACTTAATTTATTTCTGTTTGCCCAAAATGTATCAAAGTTATCTAATAACTGTTGATAGTAATTAATCCAGAATTAACTTTAATCTGTTGAAATTCCACCCTACTTCAAATAAAAGGTTTGGAAGGACCCCCACCTCAATACAGGAAAGAATGATAACAGCTACTGGACTTAGAAAACCTATTTTCCTAAAATATTGTTTTAAGAGGAAGATTTTATAAATTTCAACTGACAGTAATACTGGTTGCTCAATCAGTAAATGCCAAATGTTTCCTTTTAAGGAATTGGTTTATATTACCATTACCATTTGAAATATTTTGTTTGTTTAGCAGTATATTGACTCCTTATGGGTCATTTAATGCCGAATTTAAATTTCTTGGGAGCATTAGTAATTTCTTTTACAAAAATGTATTGTTGGTAATATTTTTTTTCTTACACATATCTATTGCTGGTAATTAGTTTACTATGAAAATGTACTGTTCAAACCTTCACTATAAAAATGTATTTCTCCAATTTCATAGTATTTTGACCCAAGTTTGGGGGTTCACTGTTTGACCATAGCAGGTGCTGCCACCCCAGGTCAAGATGAACCTGGGAACACCAGCAATTAAGAGGTGGTTCCGTGATCCTCAAAATCTTCCAATCAGAGGACTTGCTGCCGGATGTAGTTTATTGTCATACCCAGGACAGAAAATTTTTGTTTGTGATGTATTCAATGGATAATCAGAAGAAATATAAAAACATAAATATTTATACTCAGTAATTTCCTTGATTTCAGTATTAAATCTGTTTTAAAGAATTATTTTCTCTCTTTGTAGTTAAAATGTTATCATTATTTTAAAGCCAGGTACTCTGTCTAAGATATCAAAATACAAAATAGTTCTTAATATAAATATATATTAGTGGGTCAATATTTTTGATTGAAATTTTCAAAAGTTTTACATTCAGCCTAACTGATTCATGCCTGATTCATATTTCTATGAATAAAATTTTTTTTTAATGAGAAAACTTAACAGAAGTTACTTGCATTATTTACATTTTCTAGACTGTTATCCTTATCTTTATTGCTGTATTCACAATGTTTCAGCCGTTGTAAACTACGGCCTTCTTCACATTTCTATTTGCTGTTTAACAAAACATTTTTGGATAGAAATGCACAATCTCTTTACATTCTCTTCTGTCTTTCAGTTTTCTACACAAATCTCTGCGTTCGAAGACAATGGCCTAAAGTTTCCAAATCTACATTTCACAAAGCATTCACCATCAAAATCAGCAATGCGAAAAGAGACTTGAGACGTTTATGAACAGGTAAAGTAGTCCTCTATGAAAGATGTTATTATTATATATTTGTGGGTTAATATTTTTATATAAAATCTTAAAGATTTTTACATTCAATCAAACTGAAATTAATATGTTTGATAATTCTGTGAATAATAATTATTTTATTCGATCAAGCTAACTCAGATATCCGTGAGTCTATCACACCAAACATCATGGTCCTGCATCAAGGTCATGTCATTAGACTGGCATTCTGTGTCATAATATAGCAGGGTGACCAGCTAGTCTTGCACCATGGCTAGGTGTCCAGAACAGTAGATCACAGGCAAGTTCTTGTCTTGCTCGCCAGCAAACAGCATTCTGTGTTCATATAAGATTGTAGAAATATCAGGGATGGGTCCATAGAGCTGAGATTTAGTTGGATGTTGTATCCAAGAAATATTAAGTGTAGCTCTCAGCGTAGGTTCCATCAAGCTTCAACTGTAGGGTTTTAGTTAATGTCCAAGCAGGGCAAAACCGACTCTGCAATGGCTTGAAAGAATCTCTGATTGAGGTTTTCTAGTACAGCAGATTTCCAGATTGCATCCATTTTATTCATGGTTGCTCAGGATTTAACTATACGAATTTTCAGATCCTTTTCAGTAGAATTTATTTTGCATCTTGTATGTAAAAGATTCAGAAGGTTTTATTGATTCACCTGAGAGAGTATTGAATTTTGCTGGTTGAAGCATATGAATTCAGTCTTTGAGGCATTGACATAGAGTCCAACACTAGTAACAACATTTCCTAGATGTTGTAGTAGGACCGTTCCAAAGGTAGTGATGGCTGCAGTGATAGTTAGGTCATCTTCATAGTCAATATCAGTGAACGTTTTTGGTAAAGTAAAACCTTGATGATGATGTTTGTCGAGAACTTCCCTCGACAAGCATCATCTAATTAATAATTAGTAAAAGAATTTAAAAAAAATGAGAAAGCCTAAAAAAAAAGTTATTATATTATGCTGAGCCAGCTTGTTGTGATTACCCCACTAGTCTTGCAATGAATTTCTACTAACAACTGCTTGATGTCAAGGTAAATGCTGAGAGATCATTTTTGCATTAACATTCACACAGGAAATTCTTTGGAAATAGCAATAAATGAGACATTGTTCAAAAGCAATACTCAATAAAGTCGACTCAACTAAAACAGCTTTGCACATTGAATGAAAGGATATTAATTATTATGAATTCTATGTTTGATTTTGGTAAAAATGTGTTATATACCAACAGTTTTTTGCCATAAAAAGTAATACATAATTCGAAGTTGTCTTTAACGGTACAAATACCCAAGATATAGTTGGCTTATTACATTAATACAGGTAGTATCTGATACTTTCTGTCATGCTTTTTTTTTCAGAAGAGTTAGAGTAGACCAAAAATAGTGTATCTGAATTGGAGCTATTCAGTCTTTATTTTCCAGCCTTGATAGAGTTCAAAATCATTCATGTCATCTTGTGGGGAAGACTTATTTCCATGCAACGTTGATGGAATCAAATCACCCTTATTTCTCTCGTGATCCAATTGTAAAAATGATTTTTCCCCAAAACAGCTACTTTACGAAACAGACCTACATAGGTGCTTTGTCACATCCACCAATATCACCATTGGTGAATTAGTTCCCTTGCTTAAAAAAATATTAATTAAAATGTATATCTTAATGTATTATCTTTCTTGTACTATCGGCTTAACTCACCCTAATTTTCGAAACTGCTACTAGCGAACACTCTACGGCACTATAAATTGTTTGCAGCTTCTTCTTACTTTTTCCGCTTATACGACAACATTTAAATCTCTCACAGAAGATCGAGTTTTACCTTTTTGGGAAACACATGAAGAATACATACACATACATGTATGTATGCACATTCATTCACTTCATATACTTTGGACCAAAAGATTTCCAGATTCATTTGCTACACACATTATTGTCTTTGTCCCTTGTAACCCTTTTGTTGTTATATATCATCATTTGTTTGTACATATATATATCGGTTCTTGTTGATTCTTTATATTTTTTTTTTGGTGGACTCATACTCAAAAAGGTATCTGAATTAAACTTCCTCTCTACAAAGGGAATATAGAGGAAATGTGGGTAATTTGACTCTATGTACATAGCATGGTGAGTCCTAGCTATAAAAGTCTGTTGAAACTAAAGAGTGAATCTTATCTGAACATTTGCTACAAAAACCACAGTGTTACAGAAAACATAGGCAGTCCCAAAATAGCAACCTCTACTACCTTGTCAGTCATGTATTTTTCGATACATGATCACCTAAGCGTGTATCACGCATGGCGCATAACTGACAGACTGACTTTTCCAGTCAAATCCATTACATTCACTTACATGCTAATATCCTTCGGAAAGGTATGAATTCTCTTATTCCCTCCTCAGCTATGGATAAATAGCAGAACAGATCGGGTTCTATAGACTTGGATGGCAACTGGTCTACCGCAGAATGAAATGGCAAACTACTGGGGGGAAAATCTACATTGTCAGTCATGTATCAAAAGATACATGATTGCCTAAGTGTGTATCATGCATTGCATATAACTGACAGACTGTACTGGTTAAAACACTGACAACCTGAATTGAGTATTGAACTCCTACAGGCATGAGATCCTAATAATGATGGATTGTCTTTGTTTAATCTTTAAGACAAAGCAAAGAACTGCATGATAACAGCCAGCACAATTGCAAGAAGAGAAGAATGAAGATAACTCAATAATTCCAGATTTATTAATGTAACAGGCCACCACATTATGAAGAGTAGTTAGCCAACCTGTTGACATTTGTCCTGTCTATTGTGTTCTCTCTCTTGCTTTCTACAAATAGCAATGCTATAACTACTGTCTCCTCACTGAAAGAAAGCTAGAAAAAAATACTAAGAAATTTGTCTGTCGTTAATTCAGTTTGCAATGCAGTACTTGAATCTAAAGAAGCTAGCGGTGACACAGTAAGCAAGAGACAGCACAGAAGGCAACACACAACAGTAACACCTGTTGTGGTGAAGTTGTTAACTTATTCTTCTCAGAGGAGTGGTGCTAAGGATGTCGATCAAGAGAAAGAAAAATATGTTTAACAAAAGTATGTGTATTCTTAACTACTTTCCCGTCACTAAATAACTTTTGTATTAAAAAAAAAACAAAAAAACTCAGTATATATGCTGATGACACAATTATTTATTCCTGTCTTAATTGTAAGCCTGATCAGTTCAATAAGATCAAATTGGCAGCTGATCTAAAAAATGACCTACAATCTGTTGTTAACTGGGGCAAGGAATAGCTTATTGATTTTAAAACCTCAAAGACAAAACTGCCCTCTTTTAATCATCTGAGAGAAATCTTTTTACCTTCTATCAGCATATGGCTGATGCTAACCTCCAGGAGAGTGACTCATTGCATCTTCTCAGATGAACATTTTTTGATGGCATAGAGTGGAAAGAATATATTGAATCAGTTGCTAGGTCTGCAGCTAAGAAACTGAATTCAATATGTTGTACTAAACAATGTTTGTCTCTAAACTCTATTGTATATATTTATAAGTTTACCATTCCTCCTTACTTTGAATATTGCTGCCACATATGATCCACTGCTACTGCCATCTATTTAGAAATTCTTGATAAAATCCAAAGAGAAATCAGCAATATTATGGGTCCTAACCTAGCACCTCAAATTCAGATATCTTCCTACCGCTCTAATGTAGACTCCCTGCGCCTTTTCTTTAAATACTTTCATGATAATTGTTCAGATGAACTTTTTGCTATGTTACCTAGACTTTATGAATATAAGCACATTACTAGATTGGTAGCAAAGTCTCATCATTTTACAATTGAAATGTCTTGATTTAACCGTAAGTTCTATACCAACAGTTTCTTCAGTTACACTTTTCGCTTGTGAAACTCACTTCCGGCTTCTTCCTTCCCAGTCAACTTTGATCTTAAAGAAATTAAATGCAATGTGAACTGTGAGTTTCTGTCTTCTTAATTCTTGTTCTTTTAATGTCCTCTCTCCTTAATAGTAGTTTGTTCTCATATTCTCAAACACTCAGTAACCCCGTACAGCCTCGTGGCTTTATTGCCTTGCTTGGGGTGGAATGATTAAAAAATATATATAAAAGGTGTTTCATTAAGACGGGTCAAAGTCAGCAGTAAATAAATCAGTGTTAATTGTGAAAATTTATTTATTTCTCTATTGGATCATTTTATTTAAGTTATGCCAATTTTATGTGAAAAAAATATCACCCAAATGCCTGCCAAGGCTTCGGCGGCACACCCCTACTCGATGGTCAAAGTTTTTGATGACGTCTCTTTTTTGTTGCTCCTCGATCTCACCAATATGCTTTATTATCTCATCCTTCAGATGTTGAATTTGTGTTGGCTTGTTGGCATAGAAGTTACTTTTGAGATGACCCCAAACGAAGAAATCTAAAGCCGCCAAGTCGCACGATCGTTGTGACCAATTGACTTCGCTGTTTCAAGATATGATGCGACCTGACAACTTCTCATTGCATTTCTGTTTGAACGTCCATTTTCGTAATAGGCTTCGATAACTTTAACACGTTATTTGATTGTTAATCTTTCCATGCTTGAAATTGCCAAAGACTTAAGTTGTTAAATCTGAAAGAAAAAAAAAATCATTTGACGCTTAAACTTAATTCACATTTAAAATCGGTCCAATTTATTGGAACACCCTTTATTCGCATTCATAATCTTCATGAAATTAAACTTTGTATTTTTCTTATTGTTCTCAATATTTTTATATTAGTTCTTCCCATCATTCTCTTTCTCATTTTCTCTCTCTCTCTCTCTCTCTATATATATATATATATATATATATATATATATCGTTACGGGTATCACCTCTTTGCGAGTTGTAAGGACAATTTATATTAAATATTTATCGGAACCTGGAACTTTTATCACGCAGAGAGTATTAGCGGACACATGTGTGTTCAGGTAAAAATAAGAAACATAAAAGAATATATAACAAAAG